AAATGAAATGAGACATAGAATGAAAGACAAGAGAAATGTGACAAATGTTGAAGAATGTTGATATTAATAGCTTTTGTTAGAATGAAAAGTCAATTGTTTAATCATTAAAAATCTTCTTTTTCAAAATTCATTAGTTTGCGGTGGTCGATCATCTAGAATAAAATATTTTATATTAATCGATTGTAATTTTACTAATAAAAGTCAAGTCTCTTGATGAAAAGGATTTTTCTCTTCTAGAAAATTTCGTACTTTCTATAAGATTTTTGTACAATTTGAAAAATACGAATAGAAAACGATTTTGAGAACTCTTGTCATTATTTTCAGTCATATGTGATATAAAAAAAGTCGATAGATTTGTCATTCGTTATTCTGTTATCATACAAAAACTTGTAGTCACAGAAATCTTATGATAATAAAGAAATGTTTGTAAGTGTGAAACTATATTTATAATATAGGTTCTAATGAACTATGAATACCTTGACAAGATTTCACGGTATTATTTGAAAAAGTCATGCGCTTTTATTCTGAGTGAAGTGGAAGAGAAGATAGATTAATTTATTTACTTGCTGTAGGTGCTGCTTTTTTCTTATCATGTGTTTGATCTTTTTCTATTAATAACAAAAAATCAAATGTTTAAAAATTGAAAAATATAAATTTCAACTAACTTATAGTTGGACGTTGAGTGACTGTTTTTGCTAATTCAAAAAAAAAATAATTTTCATTTTTTTTTTTTTTTCATTCAACAATTTATTTACTTTTTATTTTTTCTTCTTTATTATTATTCATATTTTCAACTCGTCGTTCAAGTTCAGTTTTAAGATCCCAAACACGATCAACTAAATCATTACTAAGAACAATAGCTTTTTCACGTAAATTTTGCATATATTTTGGTAAATCTTTAAATATTTGTTCAGCCATAACACCTAAAGGAAAAAAAATTTCTGTTATTCATGTTTTTTTTTTTATTAAATGTAAATTTTTCATATAACCATATTCTTTGCCATAGGGTTGTATAAAATGATGACCAGCTAAATCAGGTAATATTGTTGCTAAATAAACCAAATATATAATACACAAAAAAAAAATGTTTTATTTAAGTTAACATACCGACAACAACACCAGAAACAAAAACAAATGTATAAATAAACATTGAACAACAAAATGAACGTCCTTTTGTTTTCATAGGAACTTTTTTTGTTGTTTGTTCATTAGATGATTTTGTTGTTCTTAGATTATCTTTTGACTATAAGAAAAAGAATTGTTTTTTTAAAAATATATTAAAAGAATATTTAACCATTATGATGTGTTATCGATCAATGAATAATAAAATATAATCTAAAATATTATAAATGTAATAAAGGTCATTGACTTATCCAATAAATTTCTTTAGTATGTTTAAGAAAGAAAAGAAAAAAAATGAACTTTAAATTTTAAATGAAAGAAAATAAAATAGCGACATAAATATCGATGGTTATAGATATTAACCAATAGAGAAGATTGAAATGATTTTTGATGGTGTTTGTTATTCAATTTATCATGTACCATTAATGTTTCATAAGTTTCACATAAATCATTCTTTGTCTAGTCTAATATTATTAGTATTGTATTCAATTAAGAACATACTCAGACATAATATCAAGAAATACATTGACAGTAACATTGTTTTTTCAAATGAATTTAATCTGACATAGTTTTTTTTTGCAATGGTATTTATTCGAAGTAGAAACATGCGAAATTTTCTGTAAACGTCTTTCAAATAGATAAAAGGAAATTATTTCTTCCTTTTTCTTTTCTACAATGTAAGAATGATATTCATAATACATGACTTGAAAATACTAAATATGTATTGTATACTTTAATAAAACAAAATTGTTAGCACAACCGCCAAGCGGCTGAAATATGAAAGTGACATGTCTTTTTCATCATTTATTCTAAGCATTGATTTAATGAACAAAAAAAAGCTTAGTGAACATATTTGTTAAAACTACTGTCGGCCTTAACAATCTATGATGCATCTCAATGTATTCAGAATGACAAAATATTGATTATTCTCAAAAGCTGAAACTTAAATTGTTCATACTTTTGAGTTATTTATATGACAGTTGTAGGAAATTTAAATGCATATAATCATTTATCTGCGCAAAAATTAGCAACAGGGTTATTTAGAAAAACACTTTCTAAGTCATATTATTAATGTCAATTGCGAAGATCTGTAATGAAGGACGAGTCATAAAAATCTCGATTTACACATTCATTTACTATTATTTTCTTCAATCGTAGACGTGGATTCTACAAAAGAAAAAAGAACGGCTGAATATATTTTGTTTGAAATATTTGATTCGAATAAATAACAAAAAAAAAATTTATATTATTAGTCCTTTGAGAACGAGTCACTTATAAATACGTGACGATGACAAAATAACTCATGATTGGTTTATGCTTGTTTCTTACGGCACTTTACACATATATATATATAGACTCTAGAGTGTCACATAAAGAATACACAGGTTATTCATGTTTTGTTAATGACATATTTGAATTGCGTCTTGTTTTTCATATTTCACTTGAGTAGTGTTAAAAATATTAATAAATTAATTTGATGAAAAACAACAAAAAAACATTTCAATAAAATAAATATTTTGCAAGAAATCAAATAATTTTAAATATCTAAACGTTAATTCTTTGATAATCATTTTGTTTATTATATGTAATCGAAAGTAGAACAAAATTTTAAGTCTTGAAAATACACTTATTAGTAGAATGATTATCTTTTGAGATTTAATACTACTCTGAGTACTTTTTTGATATAGTTCTATTCGTTTGAATCATGATAACAAATGAATAATACTATGACTATAGTATTCACATTTTTTACCACTAATATTGTATTAATTTTTTAATTGAAATAACGTATAAAAATTTTCAAATGGACGTATACTATAAGTACGCTGAAGTTTAACATGGTTTGTTCTTCGTTAAAAGTCAATCAAGGTGAAATTTATGTGAAAAAAGAATACATTTTTCTAATGCTATTAACTTATTGTATATTTTTTTTCTTACAAAGGACAACTATAAAAAGTCAAAACAAATTTAAAATTTCTAAAAAAGAAATTTCATTGCACAAATAAAAGTTTTACTAAAACATTTGTAACTAAGAAATCTATCATTCTCATATATTTGAGTTTAAATTATGACTTGACTAATTTTAGAACTTAAGATCGATCTTATTATTGTTAACATAAGTCTTCTCGTAATAAAATTAAACTGATAAGAGATTGTTTTCTATTTTATGAACAATTTTACATTGAAGTTAGTATGCATCTCTAAAATTCAATAGAGATTATAGGCTTTTATTTTTTAATAATTTTATAACACTCGTTCCATACTAATGATAGACAAAATTATTTAGCAGTTTTCTTTACATAATATACACTTCTCTCATCGAATCGAGAACATAAAAAATGTTCTCTAGATTTCTATGCCATCAAATCTGTTTAAACATTACTAATGAGTTCTTTTGAAAAGATTCAAGCTAAAATACCACTGGATGTTATCATTGTCGGTGCTCACATTATTAGATTAGCTACTGCCGCAACAATCATTAGAATAAGACAATCATTTATGTCAAAACCTAATAATGTTCGTTGAAAGAGAAGTGGCGGTAAAGTCATGTTCTCGTCAACATTACTTAACGGTAAAAATCGCATGGGCATTATCAGTCAGTTGCTGAAGACATTTTCTACGATTTCGGAGTATGAGTGTAGGTAGACTAGAGGCTTTACCGTCACCAACACCTGTGGTATCCGTCTATGTATGTTCTTTATGGCGCTTACTTATTGACTGATACAATGCTATCAATGGAGTCGCTACCATCATCATGCCGACGAGCTGTGCGGTGTTAGTTTTACACCAATAGCAAAGATAATTATCTATGTCATGTAAATTAGGTCGCAACTGCAAGAGAATTGCTAATGTAACAATGTACAACTTCTAGTTTTCTATTCGTTTTTCTATTTGTTAAATCCAATTATTAATTTTTTTTTTGTCTTTAAAAGCTTGAAATATATCGTTATCTCTATATTCGATCATGGTTCTTCATCGTTATTCTGATACCGTTTATTCTGACATATCAAGTATATTTTGAGATTTTCGACCAACGAGATGATGATGTTTTATTGCATACAGAAAAAAAGGGAGAGGCATATAAGTGCACTAATAAGAGATATTTCCGTATGAAAAATATTCAAGAACAAAAGTAATTGATAATACAATATGTTTCTTTATGTAAATGATGATTTGTGCGTGGTATGGGTGTCCGTGTAGGATGTACAAGTAGATATCAGTTTTCTCTCTACATTCATCCCTTATATGCCATTCTTAGAAGAGTCACTCGACGATATCTGAAACATTTTCGACATCTTTCACTGATATATATACTATTTCGCTGTTTGGATACGATCAACGTTATTCTTTGTATTAAATTATCTTCGACATATTTTCTTTTTGCGTTTTATTCTTACAGCCAAATCGATATACATATCGATTGGTTAGGTTGCAATTTGAAATTGAATTTCAGCCAATACTATGTCAATAACAAATGATGTCTTAAAGAAAAACAGAAAGCTTTAAGAGAACAAGTTTCAATTCATGATGGAGTATATATTTTGTTTGAAGTGACTGAAAAGCAAAATAAAAGTTTTCCACGTTTTCTTTCGTGACTAATGCATCATAAATAGGGTGTGGGTGTGTGGGGTGTAGGTGTGGGTGTGGGTGGGTGTGGGTCTTTGATAAATCAACAAACGCATCCATACCCACATCCACCCACACCCACACCCACACTCATCCACACCCCACACCCGGCGTGGGTGTGATGGGTTGTGGATGTTTGAGTGTATGAGTCTTCTGTACACCCACACTCACTACCACATCCCGCCGAGAATAGTCGAATAGCGAAGTAAGTAGTAATGCAAATCAATTTACTGAGTTAATCAAAAAACAATTTACATTTTCTTTCGAATTTTTTCATATGTTTCTTTATAGTCCAAAAGATGAGGATGCTTTGAAGGCAATTTTTCTTGAGCTATTTCTACTGCTTGTTGAATATTTTTCATTGCCATACTATATCGTTGAGTAGATAAATATAATTTCGCCAAATTGTGATATACTACAGCTAACTCAGGATGGTTTTTCGGTAGTTGCTTTTCACGTATTTCTAGCCCTTTTTGATTATATGTCAATGCCGTTGAATAATCTCTCATTTCACGATATGTTTCACCTAAATTTATATATGTTGTTGCACGAGCTGTGGGATCACATTGAACATTTTCTTGTATATTTAATGCTTTTCGATGAAAAGAAAGTGCCTTTTCATAATTACCCAATAATCGGTGAATATCACCAATATGAGTATAGGATAAACCGAAATACGGATGTCTTTCAGGTAATGTTTTTCGATCTATTGCGAGGACTTTTTCAAAATAATCTAGTGCCTTTGAATAATCTTTTATACTGCGGTAAACCTTTCCGAACCAGCTGTATGTTGAAGCAAAAGCTGGATTACCTTCTTCCAACGTTCTTTGCTGAATTTCAAAAGCACCTTGAAGAGCTGCAAGAGCTGCGGCGTAATCACCCATTTTTTCATGACACGCTGCAAAACTCAAGTGACTTTCAGCTAATAAGGGATGATTCGGAGGAAGAGCTTTTTGGAGTATTTTATGTGATTTTTCGTAAAATTTAAGTGCTTTCAAGTAGTCACCCATGGCGTTATATACTCCACCGACACTACTGTAGGAAGCCGCCAAATCGGGATGAGTCGGAGGCAGAGCTTTCTCAAGTATCTTATGTGCTTTATCATAGAATTGAAGTGCTTTCAAGTATTCACCCATGTCGAAATACACTTGACCGATATTGTTGTAGGAATCACCCAAATTTGGATGATTCGAAGGCAGAGCTTTTTCTCTTATTTGAAGCGCTCTTTCAAAGTATTGAATTGCTTTCGAGTAGTCACCCATGTTCTGATTCACTTGACCGATATTGTTGTAGGAAACAGCCAAATCTGGATGAGTTGATGGCAAAGCTTTTTCGAATATTCTGTGTGCTTTATCATAGAATTGAAGTGCTTTCGCATAGTCACCCATGGCGGTATATGCTGCACCCATCGAGGAATAGGAAACACCCAAATCTGGATGATTCGAAGGCAGAGCTTTTTCTCTTATTTTATGCGCTCTTTCGAAATATTGAACTGCTTTTGAGTACTCACCCATGTTTTGATTCACTTGACCGATATTGTTGTAGGAAGCAGCCAAATCTGGATGAGTTGGTGGCAAAGCTTTTTCGAATATTCTGTGTGCTTTATCATAGAATTGAAGTGCTTTCGCATAGTCACCCATAGCGTTATATGCTGCACCCACCGAGGAGTAGGAACCACCCAAATCTGGATGATCCGGAGGCAGAGCTTTTTCTCTGATTTGAAGCGCTCTTTCGAAATATTGAACTGCTTTCGAGTAGTCACCCATGTACTGATTCACTTGACCGATATTGTTGTAGGAAACAGCCAAATCGGGATGAGTTGGTGGCAGAGCTTTTCCGAGTATCTTATGTGCTTTTTCATAGGATTGAAGTGCTTTCGCATAGTCACCCACGGCGATATATGCTGCACCCATTGAAGAATAGGAACCACCCAAATCTGGATGATTCGGAGGCAGAGCTTTTTCTCTTATTTTATGCGCTTTTTCATAGAACTGATGTCCTTTTGCATAGTCACCCATGGCGTGATATGCCGCACCGATCCACGCGTAGGAATTACCCAGATGTGGATGATTCGGAGGCAGAGCTTTTTCTCTTATTTTAAGTGATTTTTCGTAAAATTCAAGTGCTTTGGAGTAGTCACCCATGTTGTGATACACTCCACCAAGGTTGTTGTAGGAAAGAGCCAAATCAGGGTCAGTCGAAGACATAGCTTTTTCTTTTATTTTAATTGTTTTTTCGTAAAATTCTAGTGCTTTCAAGTAGTCACCCATGGTATTGTACGCAAGACCGATATTATTGTAGGTATTAGCCAGTGAAGCATCATCTTCTGGAAGAGTTTTTCGGTGGATTTCAAGTGCTTTTTCGTAAAATGAGACCGCTTCTCTGTATTGCCCTTGGTTGTCTTTCACCAATCCAAGGTGGTGATAAATATGTGCTCTATTACTGTCATCAGGTATCTGCTGTAGTAATGTGTTGTACAACTCTTCGGCCTTGTCAAATTGTCCTATGGTGAGGAGGAGCTTACACATTCGATACCATCCGCTACCGTCGGTCTCTTTTCGTATACGATCGGTTAATAGGCGTAGCTGTGGGTCATCATCCGACGTAAGTTTAAGATTCACTTCGTAAAATGGACTATTGTTGCCAAGTTCTCGAATGTCATCAATTCGAAAAACGGTGTGCATGGAGAAAAGAATTTCTTCTTCACTCTTTAAATAACTTTCCTCCTGAATGGAGGCGAATGGAGTTGATGAGACAGTGGGATCAATGGTTATTTTAAAAAGAATACGGACCAAATCGGTTGTTCGTAAGGCTTGTTTGGCGAAATCAAGAGAGACTTTTTGATTTTTACTGGTTGATAAAAAGTTATTAAAAGAGATAAGCCCACTTTTATTTTTGGTAAGTTTTTCGAAGTCTGCTTTCGATAGACCTTGACCTCGAAAGACTGTAAAGATCTTCCCATGATATTGGCTTACTTGATTCTTGTACAAAGTTTCGATTTGTCGGTGTACATCGCACAGAAAGAAACCCATTCGAATCATGATATCTCCGTCAAGAGTCCGTAATGCCCCATTGAGCATTTTGTACGTGAAGCACTCACGTGTATACCACCAAATAGCCTTTGATGAGTGATAAGTACTTTCAAATTCTTCAATATTTTTTATTTCTTGGATATTGTTCTTGTATTCTTCTCGGCAAAATGTGATTAAGTCTTCGAAATCTTGGTGACAATGTTCTATCTCAAGGAGTATTTCCTTGAATATTTGTGAATACATGAAGGTCGGTTCCAGCTGATCGAGATTTTCGCTAGAACTCCCTTCATTGGCACCAATAATACTGATCTTGATGTGGTCTTGGTCATATTGTTTGGTAGCCTTTGTCAGCTTTTCACATATGTGCTTGATAGATGTATGGACACCATTGATTTTTGTCCAATTTTGAGCCCATTCTTGATGGCGCTGTCTGTCACGGCAAAATATGTATATGGCATTTAATTTTGCCATGCCATGGATGCTTGGCACTAAATGTTGCCCAAGCGCACCCGAGCAGATAACAAATGATATCTCTTCAGGATTTTCATTCAGCAGTTGAACACATTCTTCTGCTGTTGTGCATGGATTGACTTGATTTACAACACCACGCAATTGCACAAGTGTATTTTGGCAATCTTGATTTTCCATGTTAATGTTTGCATCAACCCAAATAACCAAGTAATTTTCAGCCAAACGTTGTCGTCGACGTCGACTCATTTTCGATGCAATAGATATTGTTCGATTGGTAATCGTATATTGTGAATAATAAATTGCTGCTTGGACACACTCTACCTTTTGTATTTATATATTTGATGCACGTTGCTTTTTTTTCTATATTTTTCTCCGCCGTCAAATGTGCGTATTTTTTTCATTGACACTTAATAACAAATTAAAGAGAAAAAAAACGAATCGTATAATAATTTTATCTCAGTTTCATTTACGTATCATGTGAAGCATGACTTAAGTTTTATTGCATTATATACCTTGTCTTATACGTTGTATATTTCGTTTCATTTTTTCACAACAATGTTTTTCTTCTATCTAACAAGAACGAAAGTGACAACAAGGACAGCGTCAATGTGTTTTTTTCTCATTATGTATATGATTCACATGCTGATAATGGGAACGAAACAAGAAAAAACATAATTCCAGTTTTAATTGAGGCAACAATCGAAGCGGTTTCTACTTGTCAAATATACTGTTAATCATTAACCAGTGATTGAAATAATGGTGATTCTCTTAATTGAAGTTTGAAAATAATGAAAGATCAAAGTACTTGTTACTAATTTATAAATGAATGAAACACTTTAATGAAGGCTTTACACATTGGTATAGCAAATAAGCAAAAGTTTTATATCAATTATCATCCAAATTTCATCTAAAAACGCACACAAACTTTAATCTTGTCATGTACAGAATGAATACATCATCATTCACAATCTTACTAGAGTAATTTTTGATTTGTAATCATTCAAAATATGTGTAGAATAAAAAGAAATTTTGTTTTCTTGTGTTATATTAGTTGCTCTTGTTTTATTAATTTTTAAAATTCATATAGAAATCATATTCCAATTTTATCTATTCCTATTTAAAACTCATTTAACTTAAACGTGTGTTAAAATGACAACAAGAAAAACTCCTGTTTTATACAAACATATATTGATAAATAAATATTTTTTGCTTGTATGCATATGAAAGAGAATCATACATGTTTGCATATAATTAGCAAATAATGAGAAGAATTGCTCATAGTTTTTCAGCTAAAACTGGTGATATTGAAGACATGAATCTTTATTTCTTAATTCAAGAGCAAAATAAGCCATCATAGCATTACATGCTTGATGTTTTTGTTCAAAAACAGAAGGGTAATATTATCAGTGCTTAACTTGATCATTATATTTTGTGAAACATGACCTGAAAGGAGTGTTGAAGTACATAGGGTAGAAATTTTGGACCCATTCCTTCCTCCCACAGACCGTGACAGACGCTTTTCATAGATCGTCACAGCGACTGATAGTCACCTTCAAGAGACTATCAAATATTCTGTATAACTAACACCTAATTGGAGTATTCACGGAGTATTTCTTTTATGAAGTTCTACTCTGTAAATTTAGCAATACTGAGAGAATATGTCCAGTATACGTAAAAAAGAGCAGTTTTTAGGGAATTAGTAACAATAGGTACATCATGTTTCACATTTTAATCCCACAGGGGTTGGGCTAACAGCTTTTTTTAATTTACATAAATTTGCATTACAAATACATAAAAAAAAAGTTTTATAAAAACATCAGTATACAGTTGTATTAGTAAGTAAAGAATCTTTTATGCCAAATGAAAACAAAAGTGTTAACTCATCAAAAATTATTATGCGAATAGTCAAAACTTTCGTTTTTTGTGACTGAGCAACGTTCTAGTAATATGTTTTTCTTTTACAAACATTCATCAGTAAGCTCATATCAGAATTGGTAAAAAATTACCAACATTGAACATATAGTAACATTGCATTGCTCTCTTCTACACAAAGTATTGTAATAATGCACTAAAATCTTTAAATATAACAATGACACAGATAACCAGTACAGTCGTATTATTGCGATATTCTACTTATTCATGTATTTCAAGTTTTTTATTCGTTTGACTGATACATTCTTTGTTCAATCATTACGCCATTGAATAGCTACATGAGAAAATTTTAAAGAACTACGGTCTAATTTAATTTTATATGTATAACTGAAATTTTCGACTTTTATGAGTACGGTTATCATCAGCAAAGAAGGCATCATCTGTACCATGAGTTTACTTTGATTTACAACCAACAATAACTGATGAAAAGAAATTAAAACAACAAAAACTGTTTTACCATACACAACAAGTAAATAAACATAAATCATGATAACTAATAACTGACCATTTTAAACCTAGTTACGATTTTATAAATATCTTCAATTAAAAAAAATCTATACATTTCAAATATTTAATTCTACAAGAACACGATCAATAAGTGAATAAGTAAACTTGAGTGAAACAATAGTATATCAAAAAATTTTAAAGAAATGCAGTTTAATTTAATTTTTTTTTGTTATAGTTCTTTTCATCAGTTACTGTTTGTTATGAATACACGTAAACTCATGTTACAGATGATGTCTTCTTTGTTAATGATGACCGTGCTCATAAAAGTTGACAATTGATGAAAAAAAAATGATATTAAAACCATTTGTTAATTTCCTAATGAAAATAAAGTTTGATTATCTATATTTGTTCAATAAAATGTTTCATCTTACAAGAATTCTTTCGCAGTTGTGTTTAAAAATCGTTTTTTCTTTTTCATGTTATTAAAATCTTTTTCCATAAGTATATTTCTAATAGAATTCTGTAATCATTAATCTTATTTTTAGTGAAATAAACATAGCAACCTTTCAATCATTTTCTTTTCGACAACAACATTTATCAATGACATGCAGTTTTGTATTCAATTTTTATAATAACTTCACTTATGATTTTTCTACAAATATTTACCAAGAATAAACGTCATAGTGAAAATGAAACGTTTGGCATATTGTTTTGCATACCTACAGATGTCTGAGAGTGTAATGACTTTGATGTGTCCGTTTTATTTTCAAATCCTCATCCTACTTTCCGTGTGCATTTTTTGTTTATTTCCATTGTCAGTAGAGTCCATCAAGTTCAAAAATTTTGGACCTGAACTTAATCCGTATTCATAATATTGTCAATAACCTACACATTTCTCATAAGCATCTTGACAGTGATCTTATAAGAATGTGAATATAACTGACTATAATTTTTAGAATAACAATTGTCGGATTTAGGTCTTGACCCGGTGAGCTCCATACGTCAATGAATGGTGTGCTCGATGACAATATATACATTGCGTTATAATTAAAAATCTGTCTTTGTTTGGATTTATGATAACAGTCAACATGCACAACGTCATTGAAGATCGTTCCATCATCATTATCTGTAATTAATAGCTCATCACTAGTATATAGATCTGAAGAGTGTACTTTTGCAAGTAAATACTTGTGTGCTTCTTCTTTAGAAAAAAAACAAGAATATTTCGTTGACTACTCAATAAAGAAATAATTCATGATTTGTATCATCAAGGAAAAACGTTTGATGAGCTGAAGAAAAATATTTTCATTTCTCTCAAAAAAATTGATTATGATAAAATCATGTTTAAAACGTTAGATTAACAGTCGAAAATGTAAATGAAATAAATGTTTCTATTAAATCTTGAGATTTTTTTTTACGAATACATGGAGAATAAAAGCAACAGTAACACTTATTTATACAAATTTATTACTGTTCATAACTTGATTAATAAAATTTTTCATTCTTAACTTTTATCTTTATAGAATTTCCCACAGTATTTCATATGGATTAATATAAGAAGAAGAAGTTTTTCAAACTAAATTAAATCTTATATATAAAAAGAAGGCAATTCTTTTTTTTTTTCTTTATAAAATAGAAAAATTTATACGTATGTATTATAAATTATTTTAATACATGAAAGAAATTCTATTTTAAAAAAGCTTTAGACTTTTTAATGTAAAATAATCTATAGTCATTAATTTGTATTATTTATTTTTGCGTTGACCATCTAAAGTTTAAGTTTATTTTTATTAAGTATTTCATGTAATTATAATTTATTATAACGAAAACTAGGTAAAGGACTACATAAATGCTGTATTTCACACCGAATTACAAAGCACGAAGTTTAGTTCGTAATGAAATAGAGATAAAAACGAGCTTTTGATTGGATCAAATAGATTAAATGAATAATTCTCGAATATCAATCACTAACATCCTTCATTGAACTAATTCATATTATTAAACTTAGACAATTAACTATGGACTCGACAGTGTTAGTTGTTAAAGAATTTCTCTCTAAAAAATATGGTAATACATAAAAAAATCTTATGCACATCTTCAATCGATTGTTTCTAGGGAGCGATTCTATCAACAATTATACTGTATAACATCCTTGAGTAAAAAGACAAAATAATCTTGACTTATAGCACTGAAGACGAGAGTCCCTTCTATACCATGCTTGTAAATCGATAAGTACATTTTGAATTTTTACTTCTGTTTTGACTCAATTTTAGTTTCTCAAGGATATACATAGCAAAAGCATGAAAATGGTCTAGAATTTATTAAACAAGCTTAATGACTTGATCAGCTACATGCAATTAGAGCCAAGATGTAGTGGTAGTACTACACCTCTGAGCTCTTCGTAATCATCTCATGAGAAACACAGCACTTGTAAAAACCTGTTAAAATATTTTTTTTTAGTATATTAGAGTACTTTCAACCCAAATTTTCACGTGCTAATGAAAAATTGCCCACTGTATAATAGTTGACATTTCGTGCCATTACTATGACACATACGGAAAGTGCAAAGTTATTTTTAGAGTGTTTGTATTTGTTCTTATGTCGTTCTGTTAATGAATATCTGATAAAAAAAAATAAGATAATATATGGTTCGCAAGAGAAAAAAAGAAACTTGCCTATTACGATTGCTAGAACAAATTTTCTTTCCAAAATCTTGTCTATGAAAAAAAAAATCTAAAGCACGAAAAATAATTTTCTATCATATGACAGAATAATTAATTTAACACAATTTCAACAAGTATATTTATAATAATTAAACTACTTACTCTGACAAAATATTCAGTTAAGAAAATGTTAAACCTTTTATCTCGAACATTATTTTCATGAAAAATGTTACTTTTTTCGAAAATTTATTTTGACTTCAATAGAATTTATGTTGTTGCAAGATATACAATTTTTAGGCAAATGCATTTAAAACTTCAGTTTCTTCAATTAGAAACTTAAATTTTGAAGAAAAAAAAATATCCAAGTCATGTAATTATCCTATTGTCTTTCTAATAAATGTAACTGCATTCAATTTGATCATATAGTTCATACAATTATTAGAAGAAGTTAAAAGATAGTTACATAATGATTGATAATTAGTAATTGCACTTTTAATATACAACTTAAAAAAACAACAATAAATTAAGTTTCAATCTTTTTTCTTTTTCTAAACTCTTATCTCAATTTCGAATATCATCATAATCTCTGTATGAATTTATTAATGCACTTAAGTTTATATATTTCTTTTGGCTTTTCTTTTCTGATAAATATCATCATGAATCAAGCTCTTTTCCGTAAATACGAGAGACATTTAGTATATTTCTCTTGTTTTTTGTCTCATATCGACATTTATCAAACAAAGTCAGCTGATATTCTTGACTTAGAATATGATGCACCATAAGCATTTGATTATTTGATATGTATTTACTTTATTTGCGACGGATAATGAGAGAAAAAGAACTCATACAAATGAACATGTCATCTACTATCATCATCCTAGTTAGAATGGCAAATATATTCTGATGTTTTCTTTTTCCGTTCTTACTCTGTCGTTTAACAAAAGTAACGATACAGGCCTTCTTTTCTTTTTTTTTTGTTGTCCCACATTTTTTTCCTCGTTGCTGTTGTTCTTATTCTTTCAGACAATATTTGTCTACACGGCTACTGATTATTACTGTTGATACACACATATACATATAATCTTATCCTTGTAGTTCTATATATGTACATATATAAAGATGGCTTCGTCTTCATCATCTAAAGATATATTTATACAAAATTCAGAACAAAAAAATGATCAATCTCAATTGAAAATGAATTTTGATCATCCTTTACCAAATCAATTATCATCATCAACTACTCGTATATTTGTTCCGAGACCATTTTATCGATCACAAATTACACCTGATCCATTTGATTATTCAAATAATAATCAACAATATCTTCAAAATCGAATTCAACGTCGATTTTCAACAAATCAAATAAATGGTGATTTAAAAAAAAAGTTTCTACTTGCTAATGCATGAATATTTTTTTTTGATTAACAAAAACTTTAATAACATCAGAAAAGATTTCTATGATGATTTTATGATAAATTAGAAGTTAAAAGAATCTTAAATTATTCTTTAAATAATTACACATCATCTGTTAACAATCAACAAAAAAAAATATCGATACTCTCATTTCTTGTTAACATAGTCAATCATCAAAAAAAAAAAAGAAGAATAGTAAAAGATTGTAGATTACGTATATGAATAATATACTTTGATGAAGTCATCAAGGTTATTTATTCTTCGTACTTAAATAGGCAATGAAGTGTTATTTTGTTTGTATAACAACTTTGCTTAAATAAAGAAGAGAAAGAACAAAAAAAAAAAAAAAAAAAAATTAAACATAGTTTTCATTTATTTAGATTCTCCACTTTCAAATTCATATTTATCTGAACAAGAACGATCTTCACCAACAATTTTAATGCATCCACATTATTATCAACAATATCGATCAACACCTAATAATAATCGTGGTAAGTCAAATGATTAATGATATGATTATAGAATCAAAATTATTATTTCGAATATACTATAATATATTTTAAGAAAATTTCATATTGATTATTTCTAGCTTTGATTAGTGTTAGTTCAACGAAATCGCCATTAATTACAATAGCTTCAGGTGGTTCACCAAGTCGATCTGAATTTCGTGTATCATCATCACCAATAGCAAATAAATCAACATTACGTGAAATTCGTATATCTCGACCAGATTCACCGTCTATATCAATTAATCGTACTGGTACAAATCAACCAATAACATTTACTAGTAATACAAATGGTCGAATGATTCCTAATGGAAATGATGATGGTGCTTTTCATATATCAGTTGAACCACCAATAAATACAATTCAACATGATAGTAGAACAAGACAAACATCACCCGTATGTTATACGAAATTAAAATAAATCTGATTATCTTTTTTCTTTTTTGTCTTTTTGAAGCCATTTCATCAAATTGAAATGCGTCGTGATTCTGGTGATAATCTATATAAATCAAATATTATTACAAATCCTTTTAAATCATCAATAGCTTATCCTGGTCCAAAAAATAATACATTTGATTATTCTTCAACTAATGCAAATTTACCACCAACATCAAATTCAAATTCATTATCAATACGTAATGGAAATTTAATAAAAAAAGAACAAACTGAAGTTGATAATTTAACTAAATTTTTAATGAAAAGTATGAATGCATCAAATGAACCAAATTTTTTTGGTTAGTTCAAAAACAAAACAATTATTTTCTAAGAATGAATCTCTCGTTTTTTTTATTCTTTTATTTGAAAGGTATGTGTGCTCGATGTAATATTGAAATTATTGGAGAAGAAAATGGATTAATAGCTATGGATCGAATGTATCATGTATCATGTTTTACATGTACTATGTGTGGATGTCGTTTACGTGGTATGCATTTTTATTCAATGGAAAATAAACCTTATTGTGAATCATGTTATGTTGTAAGTTTGTTTTTTGATATGGAATTATTTTATTTTATTTATTTTTTTATGTAGAATTCATTAGAAAAATGTGTGTCTTGTGGTTTACCTATTACGGATCGAGTATGTTATTCAAGTATTTTCGAAGATTATCTTAGATTTTTTGTTGAAGAAAATATAAAATCAATTTTACAAAAAAAGATTACAATAGATCACATATATTCTAATTTGCAGAGATATGAATTAATCACATATAGAGCTGTACGAAAATGACGGTGATATGTAAAAAACAAAATGAAGCTTTGTCTCATGAAATTGATTCGTAGATGATTTTATTGATAAATATTATTTGATGGTTAACATTCATATTTTGCAAAAACCAAAACTCTATTCATTATTAATTAGAAAAAAAAAGGTCCCCAAGTGTGAGTCTCAGTTTTGAATCGGATATATACCAGTTTGTAGAGCTTGATGAGGCTATAAGAAGCCTATAAGGGTTCGTCCCCATGCGCTGTCCTTCTCAAGTTATAGCCATTTTACCTGATTTTCGGCCTTTGGCAAGGTATATGTGAACAAGTCGAATCAAAGAATTTCCACCTGAAATTTTGCCTATAGATAGGTCTTATGGCCATTAGAAAGCTCTAAAAATTTTAGCTCATAAGAATGTTTTCTTCTTGAGATATTGGATATCGAAAAAACGATCATATATCACAAAGAAAGAACAAAAAATCGACCGTCTTCAACATTCGATATCTCAAGAAGAAAACATTCTTATGAGCTAAAATTTTTAGAGCTTTCTAATGGCCATAAGACCTATCTATAGGCAAAATTTCAGGTCGAAATTCTTTGATTCGACTTGTTCACATATACCTTGCCAAAGACAGAAAATCAGGTAAAATGGCTATAACTTGAGAAGGACAGCGCATGGGGACGAACCTTTATAGGCTTCTTATAGTCTCATCAAGCTCTACAAACTGGTATATATCCGATTCAAAACTGAGACTCACACTTGGGGACCTTCCCTCGTTAGTCACTTGTGACTCTTTATACTTCACTAAGAGATTTATATTTGTACTCATATCTGATGTTCATCGCCCTAGAGTAGCAACGCTATTTGACAAGAATCTATAATGTACTCTGTGTCATCAGCCCTGGAATGACCGACCCTAAGCAAGTCACTAACAGTTATTTACCTCCAATCATCTATTCAATAGCATGATACATCTACTCTTATAATTAGTTAGTCTGTATGAAAAACTGAAATAATCAAGATATTCTGCATTAGACCAGCCTTCTATTCAAAGCTATAGCTAATCATAATGATAGGCAAAATATTCGAGCTATTGAATCTATTGTTGAGCGCAACGTCTCAAAATACTAATGTATTATTCTTTCTTATTATTGATTATTTTCTTTATATTTTATAAAGATTCTTCGTGCAACAGGTAAACCATATCATGCTCAATGTTTTTCTTGTATGACTTGTCAAAAATGTCTTGATGGTATACCATTTACTGTTGATGCTACTATGCAAATACATTGTATTGATTGTTTTCATGAAAAATTTGCACCACGTTGTTATGTATGTCATCGACCAATATTACCAGCATCTGGTGAAGAAGAAACAATTCGTATAATTGCATTTGATCGAAGTTATCATATTGATTGTTATCGATGTGAAGTAAGTTTATATTTATTATTTAAAAAAATTAATTTTGTTTTTTTTTAAGAATTGTAATATACAATTCTCAACAGAAGAAGGTTGTTATCCAATAGATGATCATGTTTTTTGTTTACAATGTAATCGAAAATATTTAATATCAATACTTGGTCATTCTTAAATTATTTATTTATTTCAAACAAGAAATATTTTATTTTATATATACATTTATATTCTATTTTCAACATAGATCGATTTAATGTTGAATATTTTTGTGATTCTTCTTCTTCTTGTTCTATTTTTTAGTATTTTGTCCTTTGTATTCATGTATAAGAGTATGTAGAAAACATATATAAAATGTGTTTTGTTGAAAAACAAAAAAAAAAGAATTTTAGTGGTGACTTCGTTTTTTTTTTTTTTTAATAATCTTTCAACCCCATTTTTTTAATCTTGTATTTATATTATATTTGTGATTTTAATCTGAACAAAATATGAATTTATATAGATGACTGTTTAAAAAAAAAAAAAATGAAGATTTTTTTGTAATTATTAATAAAAAAAAATAAAATTGAAAACAGAATAATATTTAATTTTTTTCAAATCTATACAAATATTTTATGCATATTAATTTTTTGGCTAATTTATAGATATCGTATTGCTTTATTGAAAGACAATAAAGATAAAAGTATATTGTACCTATGACCCAGAAGAACAGAATAATACATTAATAGTATGGTTATATAAATTACATACAATCATCAAACAAAGAAAGGAACAAAATTTTGATAAGATTCTGCCAACTGCAAGAGATATAATATTGATAAATGCGAATGTAATACAGCTAGTTCGAGATAAAAAAAATAAATAAATTCAAGTCATTATTTAATATCTCGTTAGGATGTAGATTAATGAGAAAAAAAACGCACATCTACATCTCAAAATAGATTTATAGGTCGAAAAAAGCAGTACAAACAAAAGCGATAAAACTTGTTTGTACTTATTGTTTTCAACTTGAATATAGCCTTCTTTTTTTTTGTGAACATAGACATCTATTGTTATTTTAACTTTTAATTATAATAAATGTTTTCTACAAATATATATCAAGGAAAATATCATTAGATTTTAGAATTAAAGACAAAGTAACTATAGGATAGTATCTAAAAATTCGACCAGAAAGTCAATCCAACAACAAATCAGATTTCGATATTTTTTTCCTTTTTCGTACTGCAAATGAGTGAAAATTTGAGCAATTTATTAACTTAAAAATAATTTAGTTGTAATAAAAATTCATCTATACATGTATCAATCATTATGATATTTAGCATCGGTACTGTGTTCAATGTCAGCGTTAACTAGTGAACTACATCAAGTTTGAATATACAGTAAATAAAAACTTTACACCAACATTAAAATCTTTTTGTTTTAAATATATATATATTTGACCAAGAAGTCCTCCAAATACATCATTTGAAAGTTGGAGGACTGTTCCGTCGAACCCATATTTTAAAAAAGAGTTTGATTTTAATGTAAAATTTTTGTTTAATCAAATCCGATGCAGTTCACTAGCGTCAATCCAACATACACTTACAACGGAACCTTTTATATTGGTCATCAAGAAGATTGACCATATTCGGATCAAATAAAAGCTCTCTCCACTATTGTAAGGACAAAACATAGTGTTGTTCCGGTCGATTAGAGGGTTCTTTTTCATATGATCCGAACAATAATGGAGTCAACCTTTCCTACTTCATTTTTTATGCCTAAATTCTACATACCTTGAAATTTAAGTAACTTTCTATGGGCACGTAAGATTTTAAATTTCGTAGTTTAGTGGTGAGAGCTTTTATTTGACCCGAATCTATTCAATCTTCTTGATAATCAATACAAACGATTCCATTGTTAGTGAAAGACATGAAATAGATTCTGAATCAATTGCTTTTTTATAAAAATTGAAATGATCTGTTTTTCTTTTTATGTTGTTGTTTATAGAAGGAACTCAATAGTATATTTTTTCATATAAATTTGCAAATAGTACAAGGACTGTAAAAGTATTCAACCTGATGTCGATTACTGAAAGTCGTATTTATGCAGAATTACAACTATAGATATTCATCTCTATCAAAAAGATTTAATGGCAATGTAAAAAAAAAAAAAAAGGCAGACAATCAGTTTTTACAAGTATGAAAAATCTAACATATGTTCGAATTCTTGTTTATTTACATGATGAAGAGCATCAATAGAAACAAAGCGAAAACAAATCTATAAAATCTAATCAATAAATACAAAATAAAGTATACAATATAAATAAGAAAAAATCACACACACATATATATATTTCATCGAAATTTTTAATTAAACAAGATAAAATTACATTTGATCATAATCTTCATCGTTAATATTTTCTTTATTTGATTGTCCACTATTAATTTTTGAATCTGATAATTGATTTTTTTTATTTTTTCCTGTATTAGATGATTGACTTTTTCTATTTTTTTCTTCTCTATATGCAACCATTTTTTCATGATATTCATTTTGACTTGTTTGATATTGATTTTGATATCGACGTTTTGTCTAATAATACAAAACAAAAAAAATAATATTTTATTCAATTCAATTGTTTTTTTTTTATTTAACTTACAGCATCATCACTATGACGCCACATTTCACCTAATTTTTTCGAAATTTCTTGAACAGTTAAGTTAGGATTTTGTTTCTTAAATAAAAAAGTTCATATTTAAAAGAGAGTTTTTTTTTTGAATTTTTCTAATTACCTTAACTTCTTCACGATTATCAGAGAAAAACATTTGCCAAGCTGTTTTAACTCTTTTTGGTGCATTTGGATCTTGACGACGATTTTTTTGACTTGAACGACGAGCCATTTTTTATTATTATAGAATTATATAAAATACTAACAAAATAAAATAAATTTTTTATTTAATACTATAACATTCTATGTCCTTACTTGAACTTGTTATCGATGGATATGAATTAAAACTAAGAAATGTATAAGTTTTTATAGGGCTATGATATTTTCGTCCGTTCGCGAAACAGACGTGTATATATATTTGTATTAACCGTTAGATAATAATCGAGGGATTTAAAATACGAACGAAAAATAAAATTAAATGATATCGTTGAAGAAAAGAATTTTATTCTTGATTTAAATATAAGCATGCAGAACAACAAAAACTAAATCAAATATACAAGTCACAATATCAAGGTTATATATGAAGAAAAAAAAAACGAATGTTTTAGAATGTCTTGTTTAATTATGATGAAAATGTTGGACGTTTGAAAGCATTTTTTAATAGTTTTATTATTGGTAATTCAATAAAAAGAAAAGTAAAGAATGATAAAATATATGCAATGATTATATGAATAATAGAATCATATAACTAAAAATACAAAAAATAAAAATTTATTTATTATTTTATATGTTTATAATACATACAATATTAGCCATGGTATAATGAGTAGGTTGATCACGACTAATATAATTAACAAAAATAACTAATGCATGCCAAAGATAAGCACCATAAGTTAATTTTCCCAATGAATCAAAGAATCGATGACTAAGTAACTTATTGGCTATTCCTATTAAATAAAATCTCATATATATATAAATATTAATAGAAAAATGAACTAACCTCCTTGTCCAATGAAACAAGCTATTATAATTATACTTAATCCAATAGACCATCCAAGTCTTGATAAAGTAAGAAATGCAATACGTTCTGATCGATTTAATGAATGTCCATTATAATCTCCATATGTACCAAATATACACAATGCTAAAATAAATAAAGCAATAAGCCAAGCTAAAATTTGTTTTATTAGATTTAATCGTGTAGATTGTCGTTGTGGTAAAAGTGAATTCCATGATATTGTATTTGAACGTTTATATAGTTCATAAATAGTATAACCAAGTATTAAACCAATAGCATATGGAGCAATACGACACCATGGTTTAACATAAACATCATTCGTATAATTATGACTTGTATTTGACCAATTAGATCTATTTGAATATAAATCACTTAAAATTCCATGATCATAATTATTTTTTGATACAATTACTGATGTTGTTATAATATCAACTAGAATAAAACCAGTGGCTACAAGCATTCCAAAAGCCCAATTCCTAAACAAAATAAATAATTGAATAAAGTCTAATATTAGAAATTAATAAAGATAATAAAAAAAACAAAAACAAAATGACGTATATCCGTTGAGCGATACAACTCTGAACATAAAAGGTCGTTCCTTCTTATGAGTAATTCCTATACATGTTAACACAATACAGATAAGTAATCGAAGACACACATAACTGGTAATGATTTATCGAAAGTTATTCGATTGCTAACATCATAATCATTATTTAAAAGATCTTACCATGCAGTAGTCAATAAAAATAATGGTGAAATCCAATGAAATTGCATATTTACTGCTACAAACCATGTTATCTAAAAATACAATTTATTGATTAATAATAAGAATATGAAAAAAAAAAACAAATTTTTATCTTTTACCGTCATACAACTATCACGCAGATCAAAAAAATTATTTATATAAAGTAAATTACGCCACCAAGTACGTCGACATGTTGATGTTTCAATACCATTAATTGGATAAATAGGACCATATTGACCAAGATATGGTGAAAGAGTTATATAGATAAGTAAAATAATAGCATAAAATATTGTATATCTTAAATAACGATAAATATAATGATTAAGAAGAAATTTTAATGTTGAAAATGGTTCATTTTCAGTTTTTGATATAAAAAATATGAATGCAGTAAGTAAACCACTAAAATAAAATATAATCAATTTGATATAAAAAAAACAAAACAAATTCAAATTTACCTTAAAACAAAAAATGAATCAATACTAAATATAGCTTGTACAATAATTTGAAACCAAACTTGACGTGACCAATTAAAAATAGATCTTACATTATCTAAATAATAATTACATTTAAAAAAAAAATATGAAAATTTCTACGAGCATATGAGCTAAAAAAATCAAATGAATACTCAAATTTTACTTACAAAAAATAAATTATTTTCTATGAAGGAAGATTTGGAGGATATGTTTAACAAAAAAAAACAGTCCTATACAAACTTACCCGAATAATAAGCAGCAAATAAAAATGTATGACCAAGAATAATCCACCAAAGTGAAAGAACACGAATACCATTTAAAAAAGCAAGATTTTTTGGTTGATTTTCACGTTTTAATATACGATAATTATGAATTAATGAACAACAACTAATAAAATGTTGTGCCACTATTAATAATCAACATAATAAGAAAAAAAAACAACAAAAAAAAAGAATTTTACCTGAATCAACAGCTTTTCGTGGTCGTGAAATTAATGGTGTAACTTCATCATGTTCATCAATCGGATTTTCTGATTGAGACGTAGTAACTGTTGTTATTAATGCTTCAGTTGTTGTTATTGTTTGACTATCGATTGGTTCATAAGCTGTCGTAGTCGTATGATCTATTTTTAAATCATGTTCATGACCATATGCAATATGCATTCCAGTAGCAACAAAAATAAGAAAAGCCATTAAAGTTAAAAGTACACTAAAATAACAAAATAAATGAAAAAGAACAAGAAGAAAATTTTTACATTGTAAATATTGCTTTTGTGTCATATGAACGTTGATCAATACAATGAATACTATCATTTGATAACGGAATATATCTACTAATAAATGGAATTCGAATAATACCTAAAAATTTCATAAGAGATACACAATACAAAAAAAAATAGGAAATATTGTTTTGTAATCACTATGTTTACATACGTTTATTAATATTAGTCAAAATATCATTTGCATTACAACTTTGTGGTACACAAATACCATAAATAGGTCGAATACTGCTTTTATAATCATTATTAATAACACATGTACGTGTTCGAAATGGTTGTTCAACAATACTATTATTTAAACCACGTAAATGATGTCCACATTCATATACAGAACCAATCCAATAGATATTTCCTTGCATTACTCCACTAGGAAATTTACCCCAAGCATCCAATGCTAAAATAAATCAACAAGAATTTATTTTAAAATAAAAAAAAAAAGAAAGAAAATTTACTTTTCAATGCCCATATTTGTCTTGTATTTAAATCTTTTATTAATAAATGAATATCTCGACTACAATTTGATTCATTAGCATCAATTATAAGATCTTGATTTAACCATGGATATGTTTCATTAAATTCAATATTAGAATTAATAATATTTTCTTCTATAAATCTACCATGAGAAATAATATTTGGAATAATATTAATAAATGATAATGATAATTGTTCTGCTTTAATACCAATTTGTAAAATAAGTATAAGATATATTATAGAAGAATATATTATAAATTTCATTTTTGTTTGTTTGTTTGTTTTTAATTTATCTACAAACAGTAAAAATATTAGTATGAAACTCATCTTTTTATAGTACATATATGAGTTATGACTCATCGAATGTTTTTTTTTGTAAGTTAGAAGATTAATGAAGCAGAACGCACTAAGTTATACTTTTTATCATCGTACAAGTCACGGACATTTATTTTTAACTTTGTTTACTGAAAAAATTTTAATAGTTTTTTTTTTGTTTTTGAAATATTTAAATTATTCTTAATATTTAAAATAAATAAATTCATTGATATATAAACTAATGAACGTTATTTTAAACACTTTCAAACATAAGAAGATTTAAAAAAATGATGTCAACTTTTTTCTAATGTGAATATTATCTTTCATCCAAAAGAATAATTTTGTTGTAATATGAAACTTCATTTACTTTCTTTTTCAATCCTTTCAGTTCTTTTCATTTCGACAATCATAAGATCCCAAACGAACAGAAGAAGACTAACAAAAAGAAAAAAAAAATTCACGTCTTTACATCAATGTTTATGTCATATATATATTCATTAGGACTTCAATTTTCAAGTAATGTTTTAATTTTTCTTTTTTTTAAATATACACAATAATGCTCAAAGAAAATAGAAAACGAGAAATTAAAAATAAATCAGTTCTATCAAGATGTATTTTTACATATAAAATAAGAGTATTTTCGAAAGAAAAATATATGAAAGAATAAGTAAAAATTTCAACAAGGAAACCTATAAATTTCTATTTTAGCAGATATACATATAGTTTTTATTTTCGTAAAAAGAAAATAAGTTATTTATTTTAGGAAAGAATTTCTATTCATATTATTCTTGTTATAATTATTATCGTTATATTCGTCAACGATTAAATTTATTTATTATTTATTTAATAATATACTTGTTTTTATTTTCTATACTAATCTATTATCATTCATTAATATCATTAAAAACAACTCAAATTGAATTTCAATCATTTTCATCTAATCGAATAATGTATGTTATACGAACAAGTTCAAAATTTTATGAAAATCGTTTAATATATTCTCTTCAAACATGGATATCATTAGTTACTGAACATGTTTATTTTATTACAGATAAAATTCTACCAAATATATCATATAATCATATGATTTTAACTGAAAATTTATGTGGTGATGAAAAACATTCAATGAAAATATTATGTTGTAAAACAGCACATGATTTTATATTTTTTCATCGTTATATTAAAAATTATGATTGGTTTTGTCATTTTGATGATGATCAATATGTTAATATAAATAATTTAGAAAAATATTTATCTACATTAAATTTTAATCAACCATATTATATTGGACGTAATTCATGGTTAAAAGCACTTAATCGTTTAAAACAACCATATCCATATCCATTTTGGTTTGCTACATTAGGTGCTGGTGTATGTTTATCAAAATATTTAGTTTATCTTCTTCAATCTTATACATATAATATTTCACAATTTATTAATGGTTGTATAAAAGAAAATTATCATGATGATATTTATTTAGGTTTTCTTATATCATCTCAACTTAATGTAACATTAACAAAAAATTTTCGTTTTCATTCTCATTTAGAAAAAAATTTTTATAATGATAAAAAAAAATTTTTTAATATATTTACAGAACAAATAACATTTGGTTTTTATTATCCTTATTATTATCCAAAATTTCTTCCAAATCTTTATGACTCACATTCAGATCTTTGTCGTATACGTACACTTCATTGTCTATTATATCCATATATACTCGAATGTCAAATAAAAATACGTCAATATCTTTTAAATATAACTCAATAGTTTAAATAAATTTCGAATGTAATTGTTATGTTTGATAAACATTTCGATCAATACTAATAAAATAAATAAAAAAAAAAAAGAAAATTAATTTAAAAATTTTAATAGATGTCGAAGATTTGAGTCTTACCAAAAGATTTCACAATGTGTTTGTTTATTTTTTAATATAACTACATCAATGAAAAAAAAAGTGGTCACCATCTTTTTGTTTTGGATAATATTTTGTACATAGCTTTATTGATTATATTTGATGCCATAAAATTAATACATTGAGTACAATATAAGTCTACGTATATTCTAGGATTTATTTTTATTTTTTTTTAAATGACATCAATTGCCCAATGTCGAAAACATTTAATACACATACAAATACGAAGATCTAAGTAGTGTCATTTTAATACACTGTATGTTCTTGCGATCTAAGTAAGTGATTAAAAAAAGAGCAACTGACTATTTTGTGGAACTTACATATATTTTCGAAGAAAATAGTGAGTGTAGATTTTAAATTCAAGGTTTCGCGGCTCCCTCTTTATTGGCAGGCTCTCATTACAGACTCCCCTCTCTCCGTATTTTGTCATTAGTACAATGAAACTAAAGAAGATATGTGAGTTCCACATTTCAGCACCAAAGGAGCTGCGCTAACAAGCTTTTTTTTTCCGATTAAGTTGAAAAAACAAACATTTGTAAAATAGTACAAAAAAAAAATCTGTAGTCTAAGTGATTGACAAATCTGTCATAAAGTTGTTTTTTAAAGCAATAAATACATTACAATAAATCTTAATTAAGAATATTATATACTCTCGATATTCAGCATTTCCTAAGATTAATTAAATGCAAAAATTGGTATGAGAGTTATCCTTTTCTTTTCTTTTTTTAGAGCGCATCAGATTCAATATTTTTTTAATCAGCGCATTGGTTGATTAAATTTCGTTTTTTTTTTGAGACTCGGATCCATACTTCTAAAAAAAGTTGAGTTGATTCGGATCTAAACTAGATCAACAGAAAATTTTATTATGAAATTCAATTTTTCATATATTTAACCTCTAAATAAAAACGATCGGATAGATTATCATAGATAAATGAAGTAAAGCGTAAAATATTTACGAAGTGTTAATTTGTTTTTCTATTTCAAATGTATTTAGCAAGTTAAAACTACGTCATCGAAGATTTTCATTCATCATCATGTATTGAATTCTTTTCTAATTTATCGCAAATTGATAAATAGATAATATACGTTATTACTTTTATTCTAAAAATAAAAACAAATGAATATTAAAAAAAAGAAAAGAAGATATTCACAAGTATAGATTTCTATCTTATATCATGTCAAAATATTAATGAAAAAAGAAAAACATAAACAAATAATTGTAAATATTAAGTGAAATAGCTTGAGTAAAATATTTGTTATAAAAATCAGAAGAAAGAAAAAAGAAAATATATATATATATTTGGTTTTATTTATTTCTTTGGTAAACAAAACACAAAACAAAATGGTAGATATCTAAATCTAATGATTGACTATATGATTTATAAGAAAATCATGATGAATCTTTAATACGTCTGCAAATTTCAGATGTATATTCAGAACATTTTGATTTACCACCTAAATCACCTGTGAGTACCTAAATAAACAAAAAATAAAAATAAAAGTAAGGATAAATTCGAATGTCTAATAACATGTAAAGATTTACAATAAAAATTATTCTAATTATCTTAAAGAAACTCATCGAGCTACTGTACTATTCGGTAATTAACATCATTGTTTATATAGAACGTTTCTGTCTATTCACATTTGACCACTATGATAAAATATTTTTCTTTCAAAAATGACGTTGTTCACTTTCACATTCAACATAAAAACAATTTTTTACTATTGCATTGAGCTTAATTTATCGTCAACATATGTTACTTTTTTTTGACTAATATTTAATCAGCTTTTCTATCAACATAAATGATATATTTGAAATCGGTAGAAAAAAAAAACTAAGTTGATCAATATGCATTGCAAATTCTTTTAATAACTTTTCTTTTCATCGAAAAGTTCAGCTCGAGGTATCCTCAAATTAAACTCAATACAATAGGGTCATTTTTCAAAGCTTGAAAAAATCTATTGAATGATATATAATTCAAAGGGGGTTGCTGCTTTTTATAACTTAAGAGAAAGAAAATATATTTTGGTATACTTTCATATACCATTCGATAGAAGAAAGAAATTCCTCTATATAAATATATTGTTACATTAACGAAGTCTAATTCGACGATTTGAATTGACTATTTGGGAAATAATAAACTCCGTATTTCTTGTGTTTTTGTATATTAAAAAAAATAGAAAATAAATCAAAGTGAATCTCAAAATTTATTAATGATCTCTAACTATAGCGATTCGCTTCTTTTATTATCTCTGCTGATGTGTTTAGAAAAATTAAAAGTATTAACAATTTTATGTTGTTCTAAGCAATAAATTGCAAGGCGAAATATTCGACATTATCGATAATATTCAATCACTTTATATATGTATATCTGAATTGTTTATATGTAAGTAAAAGACATACTTGTATTCAGTCACTGATTTGTATTACTCATCTACTAACTATATTAATTGTTAACTAATTATATGAAAAGAAAAATTCAATAATATATATATATGAACTAGACTTATTCAATGCGGCTTGAAATCTGCCATTATCGCAATGTTTTTCGATAAATCCTTAGAAAAAACTCTTCCATCGTTATGTAATATAAAAACTTGAAATATGACGATATGTCAATATCAAAATTATTCAGAATTAGAACACTCTCAATATGCTAAAGTATTCTAAAACGATGATTCATAACATCTCAAAGAACATTGTCAACTGAGATAGAACAACAAAACTAAAAAAAACACATTTCATAATTTTAATATCTACATCATAAATTTATCTTTTATTTACTTCTCTGATAAGAAACTATTATCTCAACTATGTTGTAAAACTGTCTTACAACTCATGCAAAATATATAATATTAACTGCAAAATGAAAGAAAAGAAATACTATAATGAAATATTCTCAGTTTTGATATGTACATGCAGTGTTTTATCCAGAGGGGTGACCGGGCGCCCCCCCCCCCCCCCCCCCACCAATTTTTCGCCCCCTCGGAAATTCAAATCGTCCCTCCGGAGAAAAAATCCTGAATAAAACACTGTGTATATAACCTGTTTCTTTTTTAGTCTAGTCTAAGAGAAACACAAAAACTCAGCAGATCTTTTATATTTCGATAGATTCTATTCAGTCAGCATGATTAATTCATTTGAGATGTGATTAAAAAACATAAATTGTTCAACTTATTTTTTCGTATTTATGATTATATAATTTTCATCTTTTTCCAATACTATACAATAATTTCACTAAGTCTAAGAATAAAACATTCTTAATATGTGATAAGATGATTAATAATATAACAAAAGTCTTTTTTAGACTCAACTAATGACAACTTATATAAAATAATCATAAACAAAAAAAAAGTAATAAACTCTTAAAAATTCTCACGATCGCATAAACAAATATCTTTTCAGATCCTACATTTTAACGAATCTCCCGAAACAAATAATTATTAAATGCATTAAGAAAAAATAATTCGTTAAAATCGCACTTTTTTTTTATAGAAAGAGCCATTAGCATGTTATGATAAAATGTTTACATTTCATGAACCATAAAAAAAAATAATTACAAACCTTTCCATCTTTTATTGTACCAAAACAAGCTTTTTCAATTTGTTCTGCTTTATCAAACATATGTAAATGTCTTAACATCATAACTGCACTTAAAAGTAATGCTGTTGGATTAGCTTTATCTTGTCCAGCAATATCAGGTGCTGTACCATGAACAGCTTCAAATATAGCTGCACCATTTTCACCAATATTACCACTTGGTGTTAAACCTAAACCACCAATAAGACCAGCACATAGATCACTTAATATATCACCATATAAATTTGGCATAACAAGACAATCGAATTGTGTTGGATCTTGAACCATCTATTTTAGAATTAAATAAATAAAAAAAAAACCTATTAAATTTTGCTCTAAATAACTGACCTTTAAACAAACTGTATCAAGATACATTTCTTCAAATTTTATTTCTGGATATTTTTCAGCTACTACACGTGCACTTTTTAAAAATAAACCATCTGATAGACGCCTAAATGTTTTCAAAGTAAAAAAAAACAAATTGAATAAGAAAAATAATCTACTTCTTACATAATATTTGCTTTATGAACAACTGTAACTTTTTCTCGTTTATGTTGTTTAGCATAAAGAAATGCATATTCACATACACGTAATGATGCATGTTCAGTTATAAGTTTAATACTTTGTACAACACCTGGTACAATTGTATGTTCAATACCTGAATATTCACCTTCAGTATTTTCACGTATTGTAACAAGATCAACATTTGTATAAGGTGTTTGATAACCTAAATAGAAACAAAATTTTATTCATTTTTGTTTTTTTAAATAGAATATTTTTCAGAAAATTTTTAACCTTCAATTGTTTTACATGGTCGTACATTAGCAAATAGATTAAATTGTTTACGTAGAGCAAGATTAAGAGACTGATGTCCTTTGCCAACAGCTAGAAAAAAATTAATTTTATAATATTTTGTCTTTAAGAATTTTTTTGCTTTTCTTTTTACGTGTTGCTAATGGTCCTTTAAGACCAATTCGATTTTTTGTTACTGATTCAATAGCTCGAAGAGGAATACGAAATTTTCCATCAGCCTAAACAAAAGAATAAAAAAATTTGAAAATAAAATCTATAAACAAATTATATCTTACTGATTTAACAGGTGTTACATCGACTGATTCCCAATTTATTGGTACATCTGCAGCATCAAATATTTTTTGAACACTATTTGAAATTTCTGGACCAATACCATCACCTGAAATGAAAAAAAACAGAAATTCTATTTTCAATATTAAATAATAAATTTATTTTTACCTGGTATAAGTGTTACTGTTCGTG